ATTTAAAATCATGCTCAAAGATACTCTTTAAATTAACATTTTAATTTGGAGAGTGAGTTTGACTCTATAATTAAATTCATTCAAAGTGTTTCAATTTTTAATGTAGGAAATCAATAAAATAATTTAAAGAAAAGCTACTTAAAATAAAAGATAAAGAAAAAAATAAATATTTTTTGGGAATAGTAAAATTAAGTGTTAAATATAAAGAGTTTGTTGGAGTACTTTAAAATTTTAACTCTCTAAATTTATCGATACTCTCCAAATGATAAAATGTACTATTTAAAAATAGAGCCCCTTGAAGATGCTCTTATAATATCAATTTAAATAGTATGCATTTGTGAGAATTACAATAAACTTATTACTACTTATTTTAACGATAAAATCCTCCGTTTGATTTGGATGATGATGACTAATTTATTACTATTAAGAAAGTTACGTTGATGATCAATTACTCTATTAATTTTATATATTATTGCTCTCGAAAATGCCCTCTTAACGATTTATTCAATTAATAAAGATTAACTCCTTCTAAAAATGCACTATATGTCTATTGTTAATGAATAAAAATATTTGTTAATGAAGAGAATATTTATAATATAAAATTAAAATAAGGGAAAATTGCAGTAGCAGTTCATAACCTTTCACTTTTTTTTTTGTAGATTTTTTATCCTAACTTTCAATTTGTGTCAGAGGGATCCCTAACTTTTGAGAAATAAGCACCTAGAGTCCAAATCATCCATTTGACCGTTAGTTGACTAACAAAAGTGGAGTTTGACTAATTTTAACCTCAGGTGTTTATTTCTCAAAGGTTAGGAACCTCTGTTGGCACAAATTAAAAATTAGGATAAAATCTGTAAAAAAAAAATGAAAAATTAGGGATCCCTGCTTCAATTTTCACTAAAAATAATGACCAGATGACGCCCATGCAAGTGCATGAATGCATGATCAAATAAAGTCATTCTACCAAGTGTCACCGAGCACCGTTTCAAATCCTCCTCCATGCTCAGATTTCAGACAACATTACATATTTTCCTTCTTTCTCTGACATGGGAAAATAGCAAAAACATAGTTGGGTTGATTCCAATAAATAACCCACCCCACCCCCAACTTCATGCACTTTCTCCACGTTAAACCCACTATCTCTCTCTCTCTCAAAAGAAGTCTCTCTATCATATAGAGACAAGAAGAAGTTGAGGCCAAGATCTTCTTGCCTTCTTTATTTTTCTTTTTCACCCACCCACACCCTCATACATTAGGAATTTACCGAGATGCTAGACATAATAATGGCGAAAATATGTGATATAGTTCAAGGTCTGAAGCCAACAATAATGATGATGGGTTTACAAATAACATTAACTGGAGTTAATATTTTCTACAAACTGGCCGCCAACTGTGGAATGAGCTTGAAGGTTTTGGTGGCTTACCGCTTCATGTTTGCATCACTCACGGTTATTCCTTTCGCTCTGATCCTCGAAAGGTACACATAAATTCAAAAGTTCCCCTGCGGCTGCATGGGAAATTATAATCTATAAATTACTTATTACAGGTGACTTTTCAGTTCTCAAAGGTTTGAGAAGCTTCATAAGTTTGATCAGTAACAGTGAAAAAGTTTTTACTTTTGTGAATTTGAACTCGAGGAAAAGAGCAAAGTTGCGTGTAAATTCTTTACTGCTGCTTTATAAATCTGATTCTGTAAATTTTTGCAGGCAAAAAAGGCCAAAATTGACATGGAGGACTGTCTTCCAAGCATTTCTTATTGCTTTATTTGGGTGAGTTATTTAATTTTTTGGGCTAGGTTACTATTTTTTGTCATTCCTTTTAGTCAGAAAGTATGAATGAATTTAATTTTGTGGTGTCATGCTAAATTGGATTATAACTATCTACACGGAATTCCCGTTTTCCAGAGAAAGCCAAACCAAATTTGGCTTCTATCTCTAGCCAAAACCCTAGAAATAAAATAGTAGTAAAAAAGTGTAAGCTCATGTTCGATTTAGCTAAAAAACGGTTTTTAAAATAGATGTTAATAAAATTTTGTTATGAACCAACCCGATATCAAGAACGTTTTAATATTACTCGTTGAAAAATCGGCTAAATAATTAAAGACGAAAAATATGGACAATATGAAATTTAATGGATCACAAAATAATCAAGAAAATTGTAGAAGAAGACAATTTATTATAACAAGAACCAAACAATTGTCTTACATGATTTTGTTCATCTCTATCT